CTTTCTGAGTTCAGCAGAAGCAAAGAGCACTCAGTGCCTGAATTTGTGGATGGAAAGCATCGAAGAAGGGAAGACAGACAGCTTGCTACAGCCTCCCAGACTTCTTCGAAAGTGCCAGGGTGCTAAGCTCCAGTGCTCACAGCCAGCCGAGAGACCCAAGGAGAGATCCTGTGTTTGAGACACTTACAGGCAAGTGCTAGGGAACTCATCCGGAAAGCTGCAAGGGAGAGAGGCGTCTGCGCTCAGGATTGCCTGCTCCCGAATACTGCCACACCCTGTCACCATCTGCCAGCTGCCAAAGTCTGTGGAAACGGAAGATCCAGGCAAAGAATGGTCCGCCGATCTGGGGCAGAGAGAGAGGGAGACGGCGCGATCAGTCAGGTCATTCAGCCACATGCCTTACACTAACGCAGGTGCCAGGGACCTGCTGGGCTGACTGCCAGCAGCACCTGTGCCAGCAGCTTTGACACGCTTGGGACCAGGGCGCAACACGCAGCTCTGCTGGGCCCCAGGCCAAGCCTTGCCTTTGAAAGTGAGGGGAGAGCCAAGCTGGCTGTGGCTGACAAAGCAGCAGGAGCGCACCGGGAGCTGGACAGGACAGAGCCAGACAGAAGCAGATGGCCATGCAGAACTGTGAAACCCGTTAGCAAGATGCAACAGCACGCCCTGCTCCAAATCCCTCACAGATGTGGGCGCTGTGCTGTACAAGGGGCACCCACTCTTGCTTGTTGTAGCTGTTAGCACATCCCAGGGCAGCGGCAAGGCCTGACAGAGAATCGAGGTTGTGACATGGTTAGTGCTGAAGAAGATTTAAGAGATCCTCGGTCCAGCAGCTGTCAGAAAGCAGATCGCTCCTGAGGCATTAACACCAGATCTGAACAGGGCCAGTCACTGCTCAAGATGTCCCCAGGGCACCCACCATCCCCAGCATCTGAAGATCTTTTCATTCCTGTGTGAGAAGAATGGACTGCGTCAGAAGCCAGGTGGCAAAACATCCTTAGGACAGGAAAAACAGCCAAGGGAGGATAATTGTTTGATGTATGCAGCCTCCCACCAGGAAAGGAGGAAGTATGAAATCTGAGAAGTGAATCTGACGAGTCCGTCCAGAAGCTCAGAGAAGAGGGCATGATCACTTGAGACAAACCCAGAGCTTTTGGCTTCCGAGGAGCAAGCAATTACTGTGCCCTGCTGCACAGCAGAGTGTATGTAGCTGGAAGCACAGCCTGTGGCAGAGCTACTCAATTACACGCTACCAAGATCTTCTGGATAATTTATCGGAGATCTGCTGGGCAGATAGCAGTGCACCAGCTCCAGCTCTGCTGGGCCAGGTACTTGCACGTTATCTTCGCAGCTAAGAATAGCAGCAGCGCACTGCAGCTGCTCCCCAAGAGACCAGGAGAACAGCTAGAAAGACAGGATCTCCCACAGCAAGAAGGACCTCAGCGAGACTGGAAGGCGAGGTTGGGGGGGAGATGCACAGTGGTGAAACCTGTTTGCAATCTCGAACTAATTCCAAGCCTGCCATTTAACTATCCTGATCAATACGGCCGAGTTCGAGAATATACGAACGGTCCAATATTCGTCAATACGCGGTCCAGATCTGGCTGTACAAGCGGAGAGGGGAAAGTCGCACAGCTCCTTGCACGTCAGCTTCCCTTCACAGTGCTGTTGTTCCTGCAGCTGCAGTTTAGGGGTAACACCACTGTCTGGAAGTTCAGGCTCTGGAAGGGCATCACAGCAGAAAACAGGAGAAGCAGAGCTTCACATGCCATGCATAGGTCTTGTTCTCTGGCTGCTGGATGCACTGAGGAGTGAGGTTCAGAGAGGTGCTGCGAGTGTGGAGTACTGGGAGAGCCCCTTCTTGCAAAAAGCTGTTTTTCCTAGAGCACGTAATGCTGTGGTCTGAACGAGGGAATGTCACTTGAATGCGGAACTGCAGCTTCCAGCTGCTCATCACCTTCCATGGCTGTCAGCTAAGATTAGACTGATCTTACACCACCTCTTGGAGGTGGATCAAGTCACCTTTTGAATCCTTTCTTGGACAGGCTGATAAAAGCATCCTGTATCTCCTGCAGGACTGACTCTCAGTGGCTCTCTAACCCATCCTGGGGTCCCTGGCTCTGTCAAGCAGCCATGCAAACTTGGCAATGTTGAAACATCATACAAACAGGTCAATCCCTTCTCAGCACTGGCCATGCTGCAGAGAAGGGCAGGTGTGTAGGACACATGGCTCTGTGACTGGCCCTGCAAAAAGGGCCATGGTCTCCCAGGCTTCCTGCCTCTCGTCTTTAATCACCTGCAACTATGGGGAACCTGATCCCATAGCACAGACCTCAGAGTGCTTGACTGAGTCCATCAGTGCTGAACTGCCACATGGCATGCACTGCCCCACCCTTCCCTTCAAGCTGCTCCAGGCAGTCAAGTTACATCAAACCTAATAGCACAAGAATCTCTGAGTTCAGGGCAGTCAATTCTGTCTCTCACCTCCAGGCAGCAGAATAAACAGTCATCAATTGATTGAATAAACTGATTGACTCTGTAATGAGTCCAGGTCATCTCTCCTGGCTTAGGTATCTAAGCCCAGCAAGCAGAACTGAGACACTGTGGCAGAATTTCCCCTCTATCCCCAACGCCTTCTCAAGGGAGGCTCCTGAGGAAGTGTCACAACAAACAAGCATCTTGAACAGTCTTGAGAGACAGCAGAGGTCAAGACTGGGTGAGATGGGCAGGGAAGTCATGGCATGGGAAATTTCACATTTGCACTGCAAGGGCAGCAGAACTTCTTAAAAGCTGAGCTTGGCTTGAGACCAAGATCATATCTCTAGGGTGCCTGTAGCCCAGTGCAATCTGGTCAATGCTACAGGTGAAAGTCTTCCTGCTATTTCTACCCCTGAAGGCTCCTTGTAAAGTCTTCCTTCAGTGAGGCCCCCAGGGTTAAGTTGGGGCTGCTGGGGCACCAGGACCAAGTCCCCAAACCTGTAGGAAAAAGGTGTGCAACATATTACAGCCATGCCAGAGGCTGGATAGCTGCAGGGGCAGTGCGGAGGGTCTTGGGAAGCAGCTGGACAACTACAGCAAAACTGATGTGGTTAGGAGAGATAAGATACAGCAAGTCTTCAAGTCGCTGTCTCTGCCACAGACTCTAATCACAGACAGAAAGAGAATGAAAGCGAGTTTCACACACCCACCTCTTCAGGACCACGAGTGGGAAGAAACTCCCTCAAAAGTGCAAGATTAACAAAATTAGATTAGCAAAACTGAGATGAGCTGCAAGCTGTTCCTTCGCACAAGGATAGACCTCTAGCAGGCCATAAACTGGCAACTCCTAGCCTGGAAGGGTTCCTTTTAATTAGGTCACTGCTTCCCATGCAATGTGCTGCACAAGAGAGAGTATTTCAGAGCACATGGACACTTGCTAACCAGAGGAGAGCCAACACCGGAGGCAGAGCAACAGTCCGGGATCCTTCCCTTTCTTAATACGTAATCAAGACGAGTGCCAAGTGCAAGTAGCTAGGCTCTCATCCTGCCCTGAGCTGTCCCCGCTCACCTGCCATATTTCTACACACCTAGGATTATCTGGGAAGCAGCTTGTTTGCCAGCATATGCTCTGTGCCTCAGATTGAAGCGTTAAGTAGGTACTGTACGCACAGGCAGACTGTGACAACCTGGAGTAAAGGGCAGCCCTTCCCACCTTTGCGTGGGAAATGTTGGCAAGGAGCGCTTGGCAGAGAGCTGTACCGAGAGCCCTGGCTGAATCCCAGGCAGTGATCTACCGGCTGTGGGAGTGGCGTGTCAAGCCTCTGCGAGCACAACCGTTCTCAATTGCAGCACAGTCATGCGTCGGCCGGCAAGCACACTTTGTGGCATAGCCGTGTGATAGTTTCAGAAAACATTCCTGTAAACAATTCCTGTCCTGCTGCGGCCGCTATCCCAAGTTGTCACATGGCAGATACAGCTTCCAAGCCAGTTGGCTGTAAGGAGCAAGACATAGTGCACATGCAGTCTTATCACTGTAATGAAACACCCAAAGCCAAGGGACAGCAGCCTCTGTCCCTCTCCGCATTCCCTCCAGACCCACACCTGAACCGCCTGCAGCCCTTTAGGTAAGGGGTGACTGTGTGACTGACTCTGTGACTGTTGACCAAAGCAGATCCTCCACGATTTAACTCCTGCAGATTTCAACTCTTTAGATCACAGTACTTTGGGGTTTGTTTAATTGACTTAGCAAAAGCACATTCAGCCAAAGATTATCCAGCTGCTAATCCACATTAGCGCTATGTGCACACATGCTAAATTCCTGACACGGATACAGGGTTTTTCTGCAGTGTCATGGGATGCTTCGACTATTAGTGTCAAATGCAAACACAGGACACGGTTTGCAAGCCGCTACCTGCTCTCACACGGGAGCTCGATTCAATGCATGCTACCTGCCATACTCGGAGTCTCTGTTTGTAGAACAAGCATCACCTTGTCCTACTCTGCAAATAATCTATGCAGTATCTTCATGCATGTTTGTCCTCAGCAGATGTGATCTTACCATCGTGTTGGGATTAGCTAGAAAGACTGCTAGGAATTTGCCTTTGTACTGCTTTGCCTAACAAGAACCATCCCAGGATTTACAGGTACCCAGGACCTCTGGATCACAGCAGGACTCAGGATGGGCTGGTGAGGTGATGGCAGCAGTAGTCTGCTGACATGGCCCAGACAGGACAGGGGCTTGGCTCCCACCAGTTGATTTGGCATTTGTGACTCCTTCCTTCAGGACACCCCATTTCCCCTCCCAGGCCCTGCTCATCTCTCTCTGCCAGCTTGCCTTCCTGTTCCCTCCCCTGCCTCCCAGCACCCTGACTGGGCTGTTTATGTGAACTACCTGAAGGGTACCTGCTGGCATTTCACAAGAAAGCATTTTTCCTCAACTGCTACTGCAGTGGTTAAGTGTTTTGTTGCTATGGCCACACAACCAGAGGATTAGGAAGTCAAGTTCAGTAGTTTCTTGAGCCTTGGGTGTTAGGCTGCCAGAAGCACTGTAGAGATAAAGATATTTTTGGCATCACAATCAATCTCTGTGCTCCAGCCTTTCCATCCTAGTCCCACCATTTTTCAGGGATAAAAGGAGAGAATTTACCTTTTCCTTCCATCACAGATACACTCCTTCTCCACCCAAAATGGGACTCCTCCTTTCCTTCAGGATGGAAAATGGTGGCTGAAAGTACTGTGCTATTCATTACCTGCATGGAGCTCACCAGACAAATTCAGACTAACGTAGTCCAAGCAGGGAGACCAAAGCCAAGTGGAGTGATATAAACCCTTTCTCTGGGACAAAATGTAGCATGCCCAAGAAGTGCAAGCCATGTCAGCATCTGACGAGGCAATACATTGCTCAAGACCTTTGGCAGCAGAGCTGCTACCAGCGGTACCCCAGGGAAGGCAGGCAGGGCTCAGACCACAGTCTGGCTGATCTGGCAATAGACCATGAGGTAAAGGAGCATGAACGTGCCAGAAGACTTGGTTTGAAAGAGAAGCTCAGTTCAGCCGTTGCCTTGACAATTCCACCCACTGCCCGCAGGGTCTCTAGGCTTACTTCCTCCAGCCTGCAACACCAAGAGGAGCAGAGGAAAGCCAGGTGACACCAGAGATGGAGAGCATACAGGCATACACAGTCTCCAACCAGCACAAATGTAGCAGACTAACCATCTTTGCACATAGATGACTTCACTGCTTTGGCCTTACAACTGATTCCCTTCTCCTGTTGTCTCGGTTTCAGGCTTTGCAAGGAGTTTGCTCCCCTTTTATCTTCTATTCTCCCCTCATGCACGTTTTTTCCACGGTCCAGCCCTTCATGCTGCCATGTTCACAAAAGTTATCAGGGATTGGGGGTGGACTGGTGCAACTTTGCTATGCTGAAGGGTTATAAAGGCTTTGTGCCATGGTAGAAGCTATCATAAAGGTCAGAAGGAAATGTTTATAGCAGAATGCGCAGAACATTTACCTCTTACAATGACAGAATATGGCAACTCCTTCTCAGGTTATTTATCGGGTATAAGGAAGAGCTACCCCTAGGGACTTCAGCTGGGCAGTAACAGGCTTCCCCACCACACTTGCCTGCTGCCTCAAGCCCTGAGAGCAGCAGTTCTGAACACCTGACACCAATGGGCACTAATCATCCAAACGCTTATGGACACTTCATCCAGAGAAAAAGATAATTGCTGGCTTTACCAGCTCTAAGCCCCTGGAACACAAATGCCAGGGATCCCTTCCCTTGGTGCTGTTCTGCCTACTCTGTCTCTCCTCTTCATTCTTGCAAAGCAGAGTCTGTCTGAAGCATTATCAACAGCTTCTTCCACAACACTGCTGCAAGCTCGCTACCAGCCCAGTGCTGAACAGCCTGTTAAGTCTGCGGAACGGCAAGAGACCACGCACAGCAATTGTGGCATTACCATCACGAACAAAAGCAGCTCCCAAGACAAGTTAGTGCTTATCCGATATTTTGTCCTCTTGGGAGAATTGTTTCATCTTACAGAGAATGTAGAGGTGGGCCTCAGCAACAGCTCAAAAACATCCCACTGATCTCTTTCCCCAGGGAGAACAGTTCGCATCATTTATGAAAACTCAGACAGTAATTTTTCTCTGGAATCAAGAAATGTGGTGAGGAAGTCTTATAAATTTTCAATGCTTTACTTGTTTGTCATTTTATTTTCCATGTGATAAGAGAGTAATAAAATTTGGCTGGTGGCTGTTTCTGAAGGAAACCACTAGAAAAAGGCTCATCGGAAAACCTGCAGAGACTACACAAGCGTTTGATGCTGTTAACAGCAACCTCTTATCGAAAAGCCTCTTTATCCCGTCGGCCTAAACACATGGTGTTTGCTCCACAGGCTCCATCCTTTCTTCCCCAGCCCTGCTCACTGCTCTGCTTTGCCCTACTGCAGCACCAGACTCCAGAAGGGTGCCAGAATATCCTTTGTTATGGCATGAAATTAGGCTCCGGTCCAGGGCCCCCATTCCCCGGTTGCCCAGCAGGAACACACAGCCTTCCAGGTGAAATGCTTTGTGCCAGCACAGTGCTCGCAGCTTGCTCCCAGCAGATCTACCTCTGCTTGCCACCAGCACCCAGAGTTTTTCCACCCTGCAGTGTCAGGAAAGTCAGCATGTGGAAAGAGGGACAGGACAGATGCAGAGTGAGGTCTGCTTGATTTGAAAGGCTCCTCCCCCACACAACACTGCCATTTCAAACCCCTGTGGATGCATTTGACAGAGAAAGTGCTGCAAGCTCCAAGCATGCAGGATGCAGAGACGGCAGAGCCCATGGAGCTGAGGTATGCGTGGAGGACAGGCAGAACAAACACCCAGCTGTTATCGGCACGGTTCCTCACTACTCTAAATGGGCTGAGGCTGGAGTTTCTGTGTTTAATGACCAGCATTTCTCATGAGGTCAGGCTAGAGAGGAACTCCTGAGGCCCATTTGTAGATACAAACCCATTGTGCTCCAGGGTTCTTGGAGCCACATAAGTGCAGCCCTGCACTCCCTTTACCAGACACTCACTTTGCTGAGAAATGCTCTACTCTGTCTTGTCTCACCTGGATCTAGGCACTTCCAGTGGGCTGCTTCCAAGCCTCAGGAAGTTATCAGAATGGGTTGATGAGGAGGAGCTGGAGGACTTGACTTCGACCATCCCTGTGGAAGGCAGCCTGTCTTCAGATTGCTGTGCCCTGCTCCAGAGCACGGCTTGTGGTGACGATGCACAGCTCTTCCTCCTGTGGGATGGAGGACTTGAGTGAGAAAGCTGGCCTTTCCCACGTACTCCAACTAGGAAGCCTTTATACAACAGGCTGGATTTTACCCCAGCAGCTACAAGATCTTGTTTCCAGTGAACCTGCGCTCCTCCCTCCCAAGGAACCATGAGTCACTGGTACCCGCTCAGTGACGGGCTTACACTGAGCTCAACCCATCTTAGCTCATTCTTTTATAGATCACCATCCATGTGACCTGGAAATCAGAGACAGGAGAATACACCAGCCCACACACACACAGCAATTGCTTTGTTTCGTCTAGCTGTAAAAATGCCTCAAGCAAGCGGCCTCCCAGCAGGGAAAGACCATTTCAATCTGCTCTAAACTCTACAGAGTGTATTAGCCTCGGAGCTCAGTCCAGGTGGGTGTTCGTGCACACTGATGAGGGTGACAGGGACAGAATGCCAGCGTTATTTTCCCTTTTAGTGATTCCCTTCAGGCACCACTGACCATACGTCTGACCATGTGCTCAGAGCTGACAGTCGCTCCAGATGTAGGCGCATTTCAGTCCTCTCCCTGTCTGTGCTGACAGCCCAGAACTGCTCTGGCTTCTTTTCTAGCCAGCACATTCCGACTCAGGCGCGATTCACTGTCCATTGCTGCATCAGGCCTTGGTTTACAGTATCATCCAGCTACATGCCAAACAGGCACACATATGTGGGAGTAATTCACATCACTGCTGCTCCACGTTCAAAAGATTTTCTTTCTTACATCAGTTTTTTTTCTGGAAGAGTCCCAAGAATTTTCCCCCTTTCAAAACCACAGTGAATTGGACAAAGACCTCCCTATGTACACAAGTGAAAAAGAAAAGTCTAAAGCAAATAAAGACAAGAAGATGCTGTTCTTCCTGGAATCTGGAAGGGCACCTCAGCTTTGACTGAGATCTCGAGCACTGCCAGCAAGTGCAGCTAAAGACAGGCTCATTGTACAGTGGGAAGCATGACATCCTCTCTTCACTTCCTGAAGTGTGTCCACCCTCAAACATCACACCACAGCCTCTCTCAAGAGTTATTCTTCTCATGTTATCATAGCTGCCAACATCTCCAAGCACAGCCTGCAGAAACGGGCTTATACAGCTAAAAACCAAATGCCACTCCCTGCAAGGAGACCTCAAGGCCACCTGTTTTCAGGACAACACAATGAAGCACATCTTCTCTTCTCCCCCCTCACACTATGAACAGCCCAGTTCACCCAGCTTGTAGCAAACTTTATCTGTTCTCCAGACTACACAGCCACAATAGGTTGCAGCAAGACATCTGTGCCCAGTCCCCTTGCTAAGCACTCATGGCAAGGCTCACAACCTTCCCTTCCCCAAGCTCATGCCCACAGTGTGGGCCTGAATCATCACTGTGGTAGCAGCAGCTAACCCCAACAGCCTGATGTCTCCAACAGGAGTGAAAGCAAACCACAGTTAGAAAACATGTCACTGAATCAAGCCCTGATACACACAAATGCAGCAGATTTCTTCCAGCACACTGTGACCACTTCATATCTTGTGAGGATCAGATGTAGGTTTCGTGCTCAGTTTGGGGCTCCCCATCACCATTTGGTGATTCTGCAGGAAGATGCTCTCTTCCTCTCTTCAGCATTTTATAAATTGAATCACAGTGTACTTTAGAATGGCTGCTGCCACTAGCATGTCTGCAGGCTCAGTCCCAGAGGACTTCCAACTGCCTCCAGCTCAACCCAGATTTAATTTAAAATAATTGCAATATAAAATGGCATCTTCACATGTGCTGAGGGAGAGGAGAGAAAAATTAAACTGAGAGGGGCAACCCTACAGAAAGGTTCTTAAATCCCTGAACAGCACCAAACTCCACGAGCAAGCACAACGCCCGTCCCAGAGCAGCAGAGTCACCACACACCTTCCCCAGTCCCCACTTCGGACAGCCACCTGCATCCCAAGGCGAGTCCTGTGCCTATCAATAGGGAGCACTGAGAATTTCATATTCTACCCCAGAAGTATCTCTAAAGCAGCGCTGCGGGCAACAACCTGCTTTCAGCTCACACATCTTGTTGGAAGGGCTAAAGTTAACAGGGAATTCTTGGTCACACAACACACCTACCACTAACCACAGACACTCCCCTGTATAACCTCTTCCATAAACTGATTAAGCTTCATTTTAGGGCAACTGAGCTTTCTGTCTCCACTTCTCCTCCTTTGGGGAGGCTGCTGCCAAATGTAATTTTCCTGGTAGTTTGGAACCATCTTTCAAAAGTAATGAAATCTCTTCTGGATGAAGTTTAACAGTGAAGCTGGTGAAAACGAAACAAAGCTGCTTTACTCTCATCAGGGGACAAACTTTAGGAGCATCCCCACAGAAGCCTGGCAGAGTAATTAACATGGGGTTGTCTCCAATTCTTGGTGCAGAAGTTCTGTAGCACAATTTGGAGTAAAGCCTCTTACAGCCAAATTCCTCCCTCCACTGTAAAGAACCCACACCACCAAAGAGACTTGGAGGGTGAGGGACTTCGGAAGTATCTTTTCTACGGTGGTCAGAGCCTGCCCTGTTGTTCTGCAACCCACTGAATGGTTATCTTCTCACCATGCTGCTTGAGCCTGTGCTCCTGCTGGCATCAGCTCCACTGCTTCATAGGTGAAGCTTCCAGCTGCTCCAGGGGAACTTTCCATCCCCAGGGAGAAGTCGCTGCTCAGACTTGTGGTGCTGCCTCGGTCTCTCTGCTCTACAGAAAAGAAAACAGAGCTACCTGAAGACCAGCTTGGTCTCGCTCACTTTCTCTCCCTTTAAGCAATACACTTCCCATGTGCCCTGGGACTGGTTCTTGTGAGGCCCCAAGGGAAGCATGCCCATTTGCAGTCACCCTGTTGCTGGGAACCCAAGCCCCCGAGCAATCAGCCATGACCAGCACCCAGGGGCACTGATGCTCGGCAGCAGCACTCACTGAGCATGCAGATCTCTTCCAGGGTGAAGCCAGGTGGCAAGCTCTTCCTTCTGGGGAAGGAAAGACAAGGTTACCTCAGACACACTACAGGGCTGCGTGGAGGCTGGCCATAGCCAGATCTCTGCAGCACACACCGGATCAGAGCAGTGGGGAGTCAGCTGTGCAGGGACAGAGGGGAGGGGATGGGGTCAGTGCGCAGTATCCCACTACTAAGAGTCCCAGCCCACACACCCCGTGCTTTGAGATGGTGGCAACAGGCTGTGGGCAGACATGTGCTTATTCAAAGCCTGCCTTTGTTTCTTTGTTTCTTTCTACCTCTCCTGGAATAGGAGGGGTTAATGTTTAGCAGCCTGTTTAAAACCAGCCACCCCACTCCCCCCAGCAGCACCTGGCAGCCTGTTTGAGCCAGAACACACATCTCTGGGCTCATCCGTGCTAAAGCAGCCACGGACAGTCATTAAGCAGACAGCACATTTCAGCATGGACAGTTTTTCAGAGCACAACGTGGCACCTCACAAGCCTCGGCCCCATTTTGCAGCCTTCAGAGTGCAGAATAAATTAAAGAAAACTGGGCCAGGACACCAGGGCTTCCATCTCCCCAAAGGAACAGCACTAACAAGCTCCCTGGCTCTGCAGCCCATGCAGCAGCAGGCACAGAGGCTCCTTACCTCTGTGACTTCAGAGCAGAGAACTCCTCAGAGGTGATGTGCTTCAGAAAATTGAAGCAGAAAAAGAAAATCTGAGCAAAGGGAGAGAGA